AACACTGGCTGTAGGAGCAGTATTACTTGAACAGAGAAAATGCATTTTTCCTCTACCACTGAAATTATTCTTGCTCTCAGATTTGTAAATAACATGTTGCTGAAGAGAAAGAGAAATATATGGGCGTTATGTGTTTTTAGGAGTGCCATCTCTAAGACAAAGCACCATAACTATAAAACAAAAAACAGGAAAACAGAATGATATAAAAGTGTCTTTAACAAGGTAAAGACAGCATGAAACACTGCCCAATCATTATTTGGCATTGCCAATTCTGAGGCCTTGTTGATTCAATTTTTTCACACCATATCCTCTAAAAATATGAGCTAGTGATTATATAATTATATATAGCCATCTAAGGATAAGAAGATCAGGTTCAGTACGGTATCTGCTGGTTTCATTTTTTCACCACAGTCCCAGATTGTGCACTTTTTCCTCTAGACCACTGTTGCTTTTTAATTTTTTTAATATAATTTTCATTAGTTAAAAACATAAAATTCTAATTTTTACAGCATAAAAAGCTGGGATATTTTTGTATTGTTTTTTTATGTACTTTGTTTGCTGATTGTGTTTCCTACTTTCCTATCCTCTTTCTGAATATTCCCCCTCTTTCCATGTATTTATGTTTAAACTGATCAATAAAAATCTATTTTAAAAAACTGGGATATAATAGGGTAATGGGGGAAGGATTGATGAGGGAACTACACTGCAAATCTATATAAATAAAAATGTATTGCTTGTTTGTGGTATTAAAATAACTCAAAAACCACTGGGTGAATTGACACCAAATTTGGACACAAGACACCCATAAAAACACTGAAACCACAGCAGAAGAGACTTAAAAAGACAAAAAATAAAAAATACATTACAACGCATGCACAAAACCACATATATACACATATACACAAATATATATACACATATATACACAACACATAGACTGGGCCACAGCAACACATGGCAGGGGATGGCTAGTGGGGAATAAAAGAGAAAAGAGGAAAACGAGAAGCGATGAAGCAATGAGAAGAAAAAAAAACCTTGAATCTAATGAGGATTTTGGGAAGGAAAGAAAGGTAATGAGAGGGGAAAAAAACATTGACTTCCAGTCTTCTCCACAATTGTTTGCACTGTCCTTTCCTAGTTCCTTATAATTCTGCTATCCCCTCTTTGTTCGGTTTCTTTGTGGAACAATTCTTCTCTTGTTCTATTAACAGTTCCATTTGTTCCTGTATCATATAGTCTCTTAATTTATTTATTTATTATTTATTTACTGTATTTGTATACCGCCTTTCTCAGCCAATCGGCGATTCCCATCCATTATGTTTTTATTTCCACATGTACATTGGGATACTAATTGGTTTCGTTTATCCATGTTCATTATGTCCATTATTTTCGACATCCAATGTTCTATTGAGGGTATTTCTTTTTTTTTATTTCCGACATTTATATTCCACCCTTCTCACCCCAAAGGGGACTCAGAGCGGCTTACAAGGTATATATACATACAATATTATATTATTAGCATAGTACAATATTAGCATTAAACATTGCTATATTGCACCATACCACTATAGTAATATTATTAGTAATATTACATTTAATATAAATATATAATTATAATATCACATTATTATTAGCATTATATTGCATTACATTATAATATTATAAATATTATATGCATATACAATATATTATATTATTGTTCTCTCTTATGGTATTCTAGCTGCCATCACTAAGTAATTAAATAACTTATTTTTATTTTTATCTATACCTATGACCATGATTCCCAATAGAAAGTATTCTGGTTTCAATTGCACTTTTATCTCTAATATTTTCTCAATTTTCCCCTGAATTTCTTTCCAATATTTTTTGCTATTTTACAAGTCCACCACATGTGGAAAAAGTTCCTACATGATCCTCACATTTCCAACACTTCTCCTGTACTTTTGAGTAGTTTTTGTGGAGTTATGTACCACTGATACATCATTTTATACCAATTTTCTTTCTGGACTACTGCTTCTTAAACTGTGCGCCCCCTTAGCTTAATGTTGGGGATCATGAAAAGTTTGGCAACTATAAAAAAATTGTACACAAATCTGTTGTTAGCAACAACCTGTAGTGTTTTCAGTGGACTCTGTAGAATATGCTTCAGCTGTACTCTACAAGCAAGCATAGCAAGCCTCGCAAATGCAGATTTATTATAAGAAAATGTTTGTTTTGCTACCTATTTTAGATGCATATATACCCGGGGTTATGTAAATTTTTCTCAGGCAGAATGGGTTTTGCAAGTGGAAAAAGCTTAAGAAGCCCCGCTCTGAACTTGACCACAAAGCAAATTGCCTACTAAATCTTTATGGAAGTCAGGGAAGACAGCCCAGCAGTACTTCATCATGACAATCTTTATTTTACTCAAGATACAATTAAGCGCTAATAAAGTTCTTCCAGATCATCCCCGAGTTGATTGAAAGCAAGTCACTGGCCCCGCACAGCAGGCATGTATGCTAATAATTTCTTGATTATTTTGATATACTGTCTGACAAGGCTGTCAATTGTTTAGATGGAACCAGATTAATTTTCCAGGGCCTCGCTTGTCAGTTGGACTTTAGTATTTAATAGAGGGACAGAAAAAAGTTAAGCAAGGTCAGATGTGTTGTAATGAAAGGACACAAACAAGAGGAAACGTTTCAGATAGCTAATACATTCTAAAATCAAACACCTACATATTTTGCAGTATTTGTGAAGATGAGGATTGGGGGCATTAGAATAAATAGACATTCTGTGCCAATGAGAGCCAAATCCAGTATTTATAGTCAGAAAAATTAAACACATCTACATCTAGAGCAGGGTTCCTCAAACTTTTTAAACAAAGGGCCAGGGCACAGTCCCTAAAATTATTGGAGGGCCGGATTATAATTTGAAAAAAATATATGAATGAATTCCTATGCATACTGCACATATCTTATTTGTAGTGCAAAAAACACTTTAAAACAATACAATAATTAAAATGAATAACAATTTTAACAAATACTAGTTGTAGTTGCTGGGATTTATAGTTCACCTACAATTAAAGAGCATTTTGAACCCCATCAACAACAGAATTGGGCTAAACTTTCCACACAGACCCTCCATGATCAACAGAAAATACTATGTTTTCTGATGGTCTTTGGCGACCCCTCTGACACCCCCTAGTGACCCCCCAAGGGTCCCGACCCCCAGGTTGAGAAACACTGTATTATTCAGAAACATAAAAAATAAATTGGCACATCCCTTTCTACTTTTACGAGAAAATATCAAATACTAAGGAGAGCCAAGATGCTGTAGTGGTTGAGCACTTGATTATGGGTCTGGAGACCAGGGTCTGAATCTCCATTTGGCCCACATTGGTTAATTTTGGCCAAAGGTGCCTGTTAATAGCCAAGAGCTCTATGGAGCTTCGTGCCTGCTGCCCCAGTGACAAAATACAACAAAGGTAAGGATGGTCATCCAGCAATGACGAACGACAAAGGTAAGGATGGCCATCCAGCAAAGCCAACTGGGTGCTTGGGGCTCCATCCTCCCACCACAGTGGTCCAGCTGCCCTTGGGGCCAATCCAGAATATTGCTACTTCTGATCAGCTCTGCATTAAGTGGCCGTTGTAGATGGGACCTCACTGATGGGTGGGTGCTTACCCTATCTAGTAAATGATCAGCACTGAAAGTAGTTTCACACCAATATGGTGGAAGACAACAAACATTTGTTAGAACCCACTCCTCTACATCCTCAGCAAGGCAATGACAAGAGCTAAATAAAGCATCTGTTCAATAACCCATCCATTTAATAGAAGCAGAAATGTAATAATAAGCATGCATATTTATGCTACAATCCACCTTATCCAGTATTAGGTAGTAATGTCAAGTCTACAAGTCGAGTATAAGCTGACCCGAATATAAGCCAAGGCACCTAATTTTACCACAAAAAACTAGGAAAACATATTGACTCAAGTATATGCCGAGGGTGGGAAATGTAGCCACTACTGGAAAATTTCAAAATAAAAATAGATACCAATAAAATTACATTAATTGAGGCATCAGGAGGTGAAATGGTGTTGAATATTTACATAAAACTGTAATTTGAGATAAGACTGCCCAACTCTAATTAAATCATTATTCTAACCTTCTTCAGTGCAATATCCTTCCAACAATAATAAAGAGAGTAAAATAATAAATGAAATAATAATAATAATAATAATAAAGTAAAATAATGGAAATGCAATAATAAGTGTAATAATAGAGTAAAATAATAAATTTAATAATAGAGTAAAATAATAAATATAATAATAAGCATAACTAGTGTAAAATAATAAATGTAATAATAATAGGGTAAAATACTGTAAATTTAATAATAATAATAATAATAATAATAATAATAAAGAGAGTAAAATAATACATGAAATAAAACTAATATACTAATAATAATACTAATAACAGAGTAAAATAATAAATAACCTTGACTCGAGTATAAGCCGAGGGGAGCTTTTTCAGCCTAAAAAGGGGGCTGAAAAATTAGGCTTATACTCGAGTATATACAGTAACTATATCTACTTTTGCACATTTTATTGAAAACACTTTGAGTCAGTTCTGGGAGAAAGGTAGGATAACAAATAAAACTTCATACTAATATAAAAGGCAAGGAAATAGTAGTTTAGTGACACTTTAAGACTGAACAATTTCTTTCAGAACAAGCCTTTGTTTGCTAAGTTTCACATTTTCACATTGCCTCTGAAGAAGTGGGGTGTCACTCGTATAAGGTTATGCTGAAATAAATGTATTCATTTAAAAGGTCTTAGCCTACATATCTACCAATGTTAGCCTGCAAATCCACTAATTTATTTTTATATATCCAATTTCACCAATCGAAGTATTGCACTGTAGCTAAAGAGCAAATCATTTATCTCACTTTGAGAGGTTTTGTATTCCATCCATCTTTCAATCTAATTTTGAAAGGAAGCAAAAACATACTTTACCTGAGTTTCTATTCCTTGCTCAAGCAGCCGTTTAGCCTGGTTTTCAACCTCAAGTCGAGCTCTTGCAATAAACAGCAGGTCATTTTCAATTACTTCTATTCCAGAGAGATCTATTCCTTGAGAAAGGTAATCTGTAAAAGCAACAGCATTTTGATATATTATCAAAAGAAGTCTGAAAACAACATAAATTGAAAAAAGCGAAACCTTATAAATAGCATTTGATGTCACAATGTCGAAGAACACAAGGATATGTCTTTGCATAACTGTTTCACGAAGGAGGAAAGGGAGACGGGCAGCAAGAGTTGAATCTCTCTCAGCAGCAGGTTTAAATGCATTTATTGCTTTCCATTAAGACATGGTGCATCCAGACTACATGAAAAGTCCCAGATGTGGTTTCGATACTTTGCAATTTTACATGAGTCCTGCCGACGCATGAAAACCCCATTAATTTTATATTATTTAGACTGTCCATTATTTTTTTTCTGAAATAACCTACAGCATCTGCTATTTGTTGACAGTCTCTCATCCAGTACTAATAAGGGAAGACTCTTCTTAGCTTCCAAGAGCAGGCATGATCTGGTGCCTTTAGTTTCCCGAACTCTGCTAGTCCAGGTGTTCAGACAGCTGATGAAGATCAGGGGATTGTTGTCCCAGAGCCTGGGAGAATGGATGGGGTTTTCAATGAGAGAAAGGATGAAAGTTTAGATCCTGTCTCTGAGAATGAGTTTGAAAGCGAAACTGCCCCGGATTCCAGCGGACAGAGAGTTGCAGCGGCTGGCTAAGACTTTTTGCCTAGTCGCCTCATAGCAACCCCTGATAAAGAGTTGGATGGGCGAGAAAGTTCATCTGAAAACACACCTGCAGTTAGCAGGAATCTCAGGATTCATCTTAGGGAAGAAGTAAGCAAAGATCACAAAGACTCAGTGAGAAACAACAGTGTGAGAAATCTCACAGGCAAGGGAGACAAGACTTCATGGCTTGTGGCCCTTAAATCAGAGAAATGTTTCCTTTAGAATTCAGATCAGGCAACACTGCATTACAGTGAGGATCTCAAGTCTGGTTTCAAGTTCATGTTGTAGTCTAAGATCTTGAGAATTTGGATTCATGTTTTAAAGAAGTTTGATTCTTGTTTTCCTGGATTTATGCTCATGTTTTGACTCTCCTGTATCTTGTTTTATGGAACAGATTTGGACTGTTTGGATTATTGCCTTTGGAATGTTTTTTTCCCACTACCAGTTTGGTTTGGCTTATTATTTGTTGTCTGCTTTCCCCCATTACCTACTGGATTTTGCCTTTCTTATTTCCTATGGTGATTTTCCCTTTTTATATGTGCTTTTCTCAAAAAACTATTTTACTACTGCCTTTGAATTCCTGGTTGGCATTGAGTACAAGGTGAATTCTTGCTGTGGTACAACACGTGGGTTTAAAACTGTCTCCTCAGCAATTGTTCATCTCTGTATTGCAGAGATGAAATGGAGAAATTAAAACAGTTATTGCTTTATTCAGAGATGTGCCCATATTTCATAAAATGGACCCTAAGGAAATTGGCAGTGCAGGGGTAATGAAGGGATAACATCTTTTGGTTAAGGTTTAATAATGAACATGACTGATGAACATTTAGCAGCTTAAGCAGAAATACGTGGACTAGAAGTATCCTAGCAAGTGAGGACTGAGTTGATTGTTAAGTTAAGCTACGATTCTGCAACAGTTTTATTACAAAAATCATAAAATCATATAACTGGAAGAGACCTTATGGGTCATTAAGTCCTACCCCCTGCCAAGAAGCAGGAAAATCACATTCAAAACACCCCCGATAGATGGCCATCTACCCTCTGTTTAAAAGCCTTCAAAGAAGAAACCTCCGCCACACTCTGGGATAGAGTTCCACTGCTGAACAGCTCTCACAGTTAGGAAGTTCTTCCTAATGTTCAGGTGGAATCTACTTTCCTGTAATTTGAAGCCATTGTTCCACATGCTAGTCTTCAAGGAAGCAGAAAAAGAGCTTGTTCTCCCATCCCTATGACTTTCCCTCACATCTTGATACATGGCCCTCATCATGTCTCCTCTCAGCCTTCTCTTCTGCAGGCTAAACACACCCAGTTCTTTAAGCCGCTCCTTATAGGGCTTGTTCTCCAGACCTTTGATCATTTTAGTCGCCCTCCTCTGTACACTTTCCAGCTTGTCAACATTTCCCTTAAATTGCAACATCTCCAGAATTGGACACAGTATTCCAGGTGTGGTCTGACCAAGGCAGAATAGAAGATAGCATGATTTCCCTGGATCTAGACACTATACTCCTATTTATGCAACCCAAAATTCCGCATCACATTGTTGGCTCATGTTTAACTTTTTGTCCACGAGGACTCCAAGATCCTTTTCACACATACTGCTCTCAAGCCAGTCATCCCCCATTCTGTATCTTTGTATTTCATTTTTTCTGCCTAAGTGGAGTATCTTGCATTTGTCTCTGTTGAACTTCATTTTGTTAGTTTTGGCCCATCTATCTGATCTGTTAAGATCATTTTGAATTCTGCTCCTATCTTCTGGAGTATTGGTTATCTCTCCCAATTTGGTGTCATCTCCAAACTTGATGATCATGCCTTCTAACCCTTCATCTAAGTCATTAATATAAATATTGAAAAGAACCAAGCCCAAGACGGAACCCTGCGGGACTCACAACTTTTTTCCAGGATGAAGAGGAAGCATTGGTGAGCACCCTTTCAGTATGTTCGCTTAACCAATTATAGATCCAGCTAACCATAGTTTTTCCTAGTACACATTTGACTTGTGTCTGATGGCATGGTCTCTGTTTCTTAAACATTTATGCAAAATAATTAATCTTTTTCTTGTCACAAGGATTGTTTTTTTTTTTGGTTTTTACGAACAACAGTCAGATAATTCCAAAAATCCAACAAACCTACTTTTGTATCATTATGCATCACCAAGGCCAACACATATAACCATCACAGTTGATACAGATAATGTGATCAAAGTTCTTAAAAAAGCAGGAAAGCACATACAATTGTTTGTAATGCAATGTCACTGACTTTTTGCAGATGTCAGGTTTCTTAGTATTTGTTTGTTTGTTTGTTTATTTCAGATAAACAAACAAATGCCGGGGGGGGGCAGGCGGAAGACGACTCAGGGCGGCGTAACATTTTCTAAAGGCTTATTTCAAAAGTCATGTCTTTGTGTGATATGTGATGTTATTTTATGTGATGTGTTTAATAATGTTTATTTTTTTATCAGGCAAGGGTCAATTTGGATATTTTTACTGTTTTTGATCAATGGCATTGAATTGTTGCCAACACTGTGAACCGTCCCGAGTCCCCTTCGAGGTTGAGAAGGGCAGTATACAAATACCACTATTTATTTATTTATTTATTTATTTACTGTATTTGTATACCYCCTTTCTCAGCCTATCGGCGACTCAAGGCAGTTTCCAACAAAACAGTATACGTAATATCATAGTACAAATTAGACATTAAAGCAACATAAACACAGTAAGCAATAAAAACAACATAATRAACGTCTTRTTATTGTCAAGCATTGTCCAGTTCCATCGTCAATTKATCAGATTTCCTATATCAGTTATCTATATCCGTTACTCTGTATTTGTGAACGCTTGCTCAAATAGCCATGCTTTAACTTGCTTCCGAAACGTTAAGAGAGAGGGAGCAGATCTAATTTCTCTAGGGAGGGCGTTCCATAGCTGAGGGGCCACCACTGAGAAGGCCCTGTCTCTCGTCCACGCCAAACGTACCTGTGACGAAGGCGGGGCTGAGAGCAATGCCTCCCRGGACGATSTCAAGGTCCTTGATGGTTCATAAGGGGAGATGCGTTCGGACAGGTAAGTTGGGCCAGAACCGTTTAATAATAAACAATTCCATATTTAATTCTTTAAAATTCTTGTTAAGGCACAAGAAACGCATTGTTTCTTGTCTTCCTCCACTTGGCTTCTAGAAAAATGGACATAAATGCAAACATTTTCAAGGAGTGCCTTGAGATAGTTCAATCCCAATTCTCCACTTTAATTCCAAATGGAAATATTATGATCCAGCATTTGGGGCGTGAAAATAATATCCTCTTGGTGAACAGCTCTTAAATGGATGATAACTGAATATTGCTTGCTATTCTGAAGGCTGTGAAGTGCATCGGAGAAGATAGAATAAATGGCTTTTAAACTAGTGAAGACGATGAGAAGTACCTCTTTCCGGAACCATATCATGACTACATCTCTTCATACCACAGATAATAAAATGTTAAAAGTCTGTGCCATTTCCTGATATTAATACTCTGTACTTCACCAGACAGTGAGACCTGTGTCTGCAAATAAATTTTGTGCTTCCACAAATCACACCAGAACCATAAACTGTCTTCTAAATGAAAGGTTTCCCTCTGATGAAAAAGATGCCAATTGTATTAATCTCATTGCATTTGCAGTTGTTACTTTTTTATAAATAGGCAATGAGATAGAGCATGTGTCAAATTCTATTTAAAATCTCTAATATTTCTATGCAGGTCTCATCACTATTTGCTCATTCTCAAATGTTCCCATGATTATTTGTTGTTGTGTTTTCATAAGAATCGTGGAGATTTGCCTTAAAAAACACTGTTTCCAGGCAGCCAGGTATGCTCTTTGTACAGTATTGCCATCTTCTAAACATCATTATTATTATTATTATTATTATTATTATTATTATTATTATTATTATTATATCATTTAGCAATCTAGCTAGTCGGTTTTGGGCTAATAGGATAGTTTCTCAACTTTTTTCATAGTTGGGTCCAAAACAAGTTAACCACAATAATTAAATCGAACTGGCTGATACAATCATACTATTTCAGTATTCTGCTACTTTCAGTGGTTGACCGTTCATTTCAAGGACCAATTCAAAGTGCTAAATTTAGTTCAAAATGGGTTGGTACCAGGTTACCTGGGGCATTTGCGTTATAACATAAGATACTGCTGCTTTGCAAAGTAACTACTGTTAGGAGAGTTATTTTACAGATGAGTCGAAATACAAGGGGTTGGAGTTGCAAGACCCCTGCAAAAACAGAAAAAACACAAATGAAAAAGAAAATATCTTTCTAAGAACCTCCAAGCTCCAACACAGCTTTATGGCCAAGT